ACCCAAATTTCTGTTAACAGCTATGCCACTGTTCCCATCAGACATCCTTATAAAATCGAAAACCATTGGCATCTGCTGCCAAACACTGAGTTATTTATATTTCAGAAATCTGTTTCCCTCCTATAAAGAATATTTTTATATTTATAAAACCTTTTCCTTCCTACGCAGCAAAAGCCACTGCAGACTCTCAGTACCAAAGACTCGGCTATGGCAGGGAAAGGACAAACTTTAATCATGGCTAGTCCGAGAAGGAGTATTCACAGCAGGGGAAGCACGGATGGAAATACATGATCTACTCCTCCTTGATTCAACATACTCACAATCAATGATTTATATACCATCACATCAGGCCCATACAACTCTGTTACACTGCAGCAACTATGGCACGCAGAATCCATGGGAGTGGGTAAGGAGGGAAGAAATTAAATGATGGAACATCTTACTAATATATATATACTTTAAATCTTTCCAACAAGATATAGAGTTAAAGCAAAACACCTACAACTTTTATGTAGTGTGGAGTCTGGATGCCCAAATCTTTACAGTACCTGAGTTCTCTTCGTGCCATTGTCTTTCCCATCCATTGTGTCAAAGTCCTAACCCAAACAGATTGGTTTTGGATTTCTTCAATTCCAATTATTACGATATCACAACGAGACTGGCAATCATTTCAGTCTTGTGAACTTCATCTAATTACACTGCAGGACTGTGCGATGGAAGTACTTATATAATGGTCACTGAGCAAATATGGCTCCTCATGACCTGCTGAGCTTTAGTATCCTGTTGACTGACTGTTGGTTTGTATGCACCACTCTACAACAATTACTTAAAACGCTTAAGAACTTAAAGACACAGACAATTTAAACTTATTGCTCTCAGAACCTCTGACTGATTTCTTATGCAAGAACACGGCGAGGAATCTTTGGAAAATTATAATAATAATCCTTGCATTTGATATAGTGCCTTATCACATCTTTGAGATGTCTCAAATACACTGTAAAGTGAATTGACTACATATCCTGTGGGCGAAACATAGCAGCCAATTGTGCACAGCCATGTCCCACGAACAGTCGTGGATTGAGTGACCAAATCTTTATTTCTTTTCTTCAAAACGTGCCAGTTCCTATCAGTCTCATCCTCCCCTCTGGGCCTGCCCTGCCCAGCTCAATTAGGAATTGAGCTGCATCTGTGTAAGTCAATGATTGCTCGTCAGTAGAGTGAGCTCTTACCAGAATTTTTGCACATCTATTCAGTTTTACCTGGTCCTCAACTCAGATTATTTTCATGGCCTTTTTATTCATTTTAGCTACGCAAGCCTGTGTGTGGCTGTGAGCAATACTTAGGTTTGTGGGCCAGTCTATTCATTTTGGTTTCACATTCAGTAAAAATGGCAATGGACTACATCAAACCCAGGACATGAAGGGATTTGTAGACAAGTGTGAGGATCTTGGGAGTCGATCCATTCTATGATAGGGAGCCAGTGGAGCCCGGCGAGGGCTGGTGCGATGGGGGTACAGTGTTTAGTGTGTATTTGGGAGCCAGTGAAGCCTGGCGAGGACTGGGTTGATGGGGGCATGGAGTTTAGAATGGGTGAGTATGCGAGCAGGATTGTTCTGAATTAGTTGGATTTTGTGGATAGTGCAGCTGAGGAGACTGGCGAGTAAGACATCGGAGTAATCAAGGTGGGAGGTGACAAAAGCGTGGATGAGGGTTTCAGTGGCATTGGGTGTGACATAGAGGTGGACAACAGCAGTCCTGGTCAGGGACCAGATGTGGGGTGCGTGAGACAGCACCTTCAGGAGAAGGGACGAGATAGTATTGGAGATAGGAAGGAACAAATATCTTTTTAAACTGGACTTTGTTTTATATCACTGTGGATTGTTTCTTTATTTTAAAGGATAATAATCTTACCCCTGTTACCACTTGATATATTTAGTGCAAATGCTGACTAAATGCTTGGGGAAGTGAAAGATGCTGGCCTTTAAGGTTGTGTGATATTCTCAACTAATTCTACGAAACCACATCAAAGTCCTCCCACCCACAGTGACAGACATGACTCTCAGGGCTTCACTGCTGTATTATAAAGCATTACACTTTCACTAGACAATCCCAGATTTCAAAACATAAAATTTGAACTACGACTGCCGGGCAGGAGAGGAAAGTGTTAAACAATAATTATAGTAATAATAGCATAGTGGAGTCCTGTAGCTCAGTGGTTAGAGCACTCGCTTTGCAAGTGAGAGACCTGAGTTCAATCCCAGGCAGAGGGCGAAACCTTGGGCAAGTTTCCTTACTCCACACAGAGCCTAATAATAATCCCTCCAAAACCAAAAACAATAATAAATTGGTCATTTTCAATCTACGACTGATTGTGGGACATTGCTGTGCGCAATTGGCTGCCGCGTTCGCCCACAAATATACAGTCAATTCACTTTACAGTGTGTTCTGTGAAGCGCTTTGGGACGTCCTCCTGACGTGAAAAGCGCTATATCAAATGCAAGGATTATTATTATTATTATTTGATATAGGATCTAATCACATGGATGAAAGATCTCAAAGCACTTCACAGGATTTTGCTTGCGAAAAAATCTTCACTTTACAAAAGTGAACATGGCGGTCAATTTGTGCACAGCAATATCTCACAAGACAGACACGGACTAATAGAACATATAATATTGCTAGTGTAATAGGCGCCCTAACTGCAGTTTAGTATTTACACTAAAATATACATTAAATTAGAAAAAGAACACAATGTAACACACAATTAAATAATGGGTAATAACACACCCAAACTTACACTTTCCTAACAGTTGCCATTTGATAGAAGTTGCCATGTAATAGGTCAGTTTAGTGGCCGATACCGTACCTGAGTTTCAGTAGCAATAAAATTGCCCATTCCCCACCCTCACCTCCCAGCCTCTCCTCACCCTCACTTCCCACCCTCTCCTCCCACCCTCTCCCCACCTTCAACAACAACAAGATTTCATTTACAGAGCGCCTTTCACGTCGGGAGGATGTCCCGAGGCGCTGGACAGTTGGGTCAGGACCCGAGCAGTGGGGAAATCGTCAGGGTGAGGGGAGGGAGGGAAGGGAGGGAAGGGAGGGAGCGAGGAGGAGGGAAATCGTCAGGGTGAGGGAGGGAAGGGAGGGAGCGAGGAGGGGGAAATGGTCAGGATGAGGGAGGGAAGGGAGGGAGCGAGGAGGGGGGAAATGTCAGGATGAGGGGAGGGAAGGGAGGGAGCGAGGAGGGGGGAAATGGTCAGGTTGAGGGAGGGAAGGGAGGGGAGGGGAGGGAAGGGAGGGAGCGAGGAGGGGGGAAATGGTCAGGGTGAGGGGAGGGAAGGGAGGGAGCGAGGAGGGGGAAATGGTCAGGGTGAGGGGAGGGAAGGGAGGGAGCGAGGAGGGGGGAAATGGTCAGGGTGAGGGAGGGAGCGAGGAGGGGGGAAATGGTCAGGGTGAGGGGAGGGAAGGAGGGAGCGAGGAGGGGGGAAATGGTCAGGTTGAGGGGAGGGAAGGGAGGGGGAGGGGAGGGAAGGGAGGGGGGCGAGGAGGGGGGAAATCGTCAGGGTGAGGGGAGGGAAGGAGCGAGGAGGGGGGAAATGGTCAGGATGAGGGGAGGGAAGGGAGGGAGCAAGGAGGGGGGAAATGGTCAGGGTGAGGGGAGGGAAGGGAGGGAGCGAGGAGGGGGAAGAGAGTCGAGAGAGGAGCTGAAGGCACAGTCAAAGAGAAAGGTCTTGAGACCGGCCCTGAAGGAGGAAAGGGAGGAAGCGGCGAAGGCACTGGGGATGGAGTTCCAGAGCCTCGGGGCTGAGAGGCTGAAGGCCTCACCTCCCAGCCTCTCCCTCACCTCCCAGCCTCTCCCTCACCTCCCAGCCTCTCCCTCACCTCCCAGCCTCTCCCTCACCTCCCAGCCTCTCTCACCCTCACCCTCACCTCCCAGCCTCTCTCACCCTCACCTCCCAGCCTCTCTCACCCTCACCCTCACCTCCCAGCCTCTCTCACCCTCACCTCCCAGCCTCTCTCACCCTCACCTCCCAGCCTCTCTCACCCTCACCCCTCACCTCCCAGCCTCTCTCACCCTCACCTCCCAGCCTCTCTCACCCTCACCTCCCAGCCTCTCTCACCCTCACCTCCCAGCCTCTCTCACCCTCACCTCCCAGCCTCTCTCACCCTCACCTCCCAGCCTCTCTCACCCTCACCTCCCAGCCTCTCTCACCCTCACCTCCCAGCCTCTCTCACCCTCACCTCCCAGCCTCTCTCACCCTCACCTCCCAGCCTCTCTCACCCTCACCTCCCAGCCTCTCTCACCCTCACCTCCCAGCCTCTCTCACCCTCACCTCCCAGCCTCTCTCACCCTCACCTCCCAAACTCTCTCACCCTCACCTCCCAGCCTCTCCTCTCCTCTCACCCTCACCCTCACCTCCCAGCCTCTCTCACCCTCACCCTCACCTCCCAGCCTCTCTCACCCTCACCCTCACCTCCCAGCCTCTCTTCGCCGCCGCCTCCCAGCCTCAGCTCGGATCAAGGCATAGGAACTGGTGCTTCCACAAGCCTCCAAACCAGCCAGAAAAGCAGCCCCCTCCCCTCCGCCCCTTAAAGAGAGAAACCCCCAAATAAATACACCCACAAACTTTCTCCCAAACTCCAGCCTAAGACTTTCCTCGCTCAGCCCCAACCCCAACCCCAACCCCAGCCTCTGCCCCAACCCCAACCCCTGCTCCAACTCCAGCCCCAACTCCAGCTCCAACCCCAACTCCAGCTCCAGCCCCAACTCCAGCCCCAACTCCAGCCCCAGCCTCTGCCCCAGCCCCAACTTCAGCCCCAACCCCAACTCCAACCCCAACCCCTGCTCCAACTTCAGCCCCAACTCGTCTGTCAACAGCTCCGACCACAGGGCCGAATGTTTTCTGGTTTGTCGGCCCTAAGTTTCCGGAGTCGGACACTGGGCCCTGAGCCCCGCTCCCCTCCCCCCGGCGGCCCGGGCGCTGAGCCCGTGTTACCTGAGCCAGTGTGAGCCGCTCCGCCATTCCGCCGCCGCCGCCGCTGCTGCAGCTCCGCGATAACCCATCAGCACTCAACACAAGTTCGTGAACTTCAGCGGAGAGGGGGAGTGGGGGCACCAAACCCCAAACCCCAAACCCCGGCACTGGATCCCCACAGTGAAGGCGGGACCTTCACTTCCTTCAGAGGGCAGAGCAGCCGCTGCCGGAGCTGCTCACAGCTGTTTGCAAAATGTCTCTCTCTCTCTCTCTGTGCTGCTGTTTCCCCATTACTGTCCCCGATGAGGGTTTAATTGCACTGTCGCCCACACTGTGATTTTTGTAACTTTTGTCTCCAGTCAATAATAATAATAATAATCGTCGCATCTGATATACCCCTTATCATGTAGTCGAGACGTCTCAAAGCGCTGCATAGGATACACTGCAAAGTGGATTGACTGTGTATTTTATGAAATTGTCATCTCAATTTCACACGTTTCTTCTCTCTTTTTCCCCATAAAAAAGGCTGTCCTTTTTTGACAACAACTTGTATACTTTTTACTTAGTACTTTGACAGAAATCATTGTAAACGTATTGCATCTTAGGACGTCCTCCCCGAGTGAAAGGCACTACTATACAAATGTAATTTTGTATTGTATTATATTTCAACATTGTGAAACATCTCCAAGTCTGCTGTGCGCAATTAGCTGCCGCATTTCACCCATGAAATACACAGTCACTACACTTTACAATATATTCCGTGGTAGATATATCGCTGCAATATAAATGGAAGTGATGAAAATCGATTCAAACTCTGCCCTGAAATGGTTCCTTTCAAGTCTCAGACAGCTGGAGAATTTGTAAACAACCATATTTTTGCAGTTAAAGAGCCATTCATGTGATGGGCTCTTTAATAAAATTTAAACCAAACTTTTGATATCTGTGTTCCTCACTTGAAGCTAATGTGATTAGGCGCGTGAAATATAAATCAGGAGTCTTGCTCCCAATAGTTGTATTGCAAGTCATTTACTCGCCCCCGAATCTCTGAGAAGTCTATATCTGACAATGAGGGATTGATGGACCCATCAAAAGAAAGTAAAAATAGTGTATCTTTAAAGTGGTTGAGCCTCATATCTTATATAGACCATATACTTACAAGTATGTACCGAATCTGTTGCTGCTTTCACCTAATTTGCTACATTGAAGGAATTTGTTCCTATGCACAAACAGTCTATTTTATCTGTAGAATTTAATTTCACATTCATAATGTGCAGTTTGTTGTTGCGCAGGTCACCAATAGCTGTACAGAGGCTGTCAGAAACCTCCCTGACCAGGCAGCAATGCCCTTTGGATATACAGTCATTTGAAAAAAATGAACAAATAGGTTTGTCCCTGTAATTTGGAGCTGAGCCAGTAATGGATGATTGCCTGATCTTTGTCACCATGTAACCTCCCACTTCCATAGCAATTCATTGCCCTGGAAGCCACTTATGGAATAGGCTCCTTAGGGAGTCAGTGGAAGCAGAAAGTGTCATTTGTTTAAGAACAAATTAGATTTCTACTGGAAAATAATATATGGGATAGTCTACAGTTTGGAACACGACATGTCAAGCGACTGCCAGGATAGTGAAAGGCGAACTAGATGGTCATTGGTCTTCTTTCGTCAGCAAATTCTTATGTTCTTATGGATTTGACAATTTGTGATATTCTCTCCCAATGATGTAGATAAGGGTAGAATTCCACCCATGTATTCAAGATTGTCAAACATTAAATCCAAACACAAATTCTCAAAAAAAACACAGAATTCAAACTAAGTTGCTGAAATGAGTTGAGTGCTATTTGGAACAATGGGATAATTTACTATAGCAATATATTTTCTACATACTGGAAGCAATTTCAGTCTGGAAACATACAACAGAATATCAAGCCTGCATCAATCTGTTGATCATGGATTAGGCCCTGCATCTTTATTTTCGTAACTCACAAACTAAGAGCGATGCTCAACCATAAGGATTCTATCCTAAACACATGCAGAATTTTGTTTTTCAGTTGTCAGAATTTCTTAACTTTGCCATGTGTAGCTTTCCTGTTGTGCTGCACCTCGGTCTCATCTTTGTTAAGCAGTCTGATACGCTGTTTTTTTTCTTGTGACAGATCACTTCATACCAGTCATCAAAGAAAATTAATTTCCCATTTCAATACACACCTTGTACAACTTGGAAAATGTGCTTCTTTGGAACATAATTTCTAAAAAAAATTCACATCTAAAATGTATTGCAGCAGTTACAGCTTACTTTGTTATACAAGATACAATTACAAATCACAATTAGAAATTTCTAAAATATTAAGTTGTTTTACAACTTTTTCCCCAAAGGAATAACCGTTTTACAGCTTCTAAAAACATAGCAAACTGGACAATTGCACAGAGTTGACAAGAGACAAAGGTCGATTTCTTTGAATAAATTTATTTTAAACAAAATATTTATAAGCTTCCTCAGACCTTCTAAACAAATATTCCAAACAGCCGTGGTAATGATGCTGCAACATGGCAATTCACTACTCAAACTGATGTGTGGGGATTGTTGAAAAAAAAGTCACTGGACATTATAGTAAAATCTTGTGAAGCACTTTGTGACTTCCTCCCTCTGTGAAAGGCATTATATCAAGTGCCAGGATTATTATATTGGACCTTTGCCATTGTAACTGTCAGTTTTCCTGTAAATTGTTTTACAATGTACCTTGAGACAAGTCACAAAATTAATGAAAATCATATTGTAAATTTGAATATAACTTGGCCTGGTGACTAGTTTATATGAATTTGCTAGTTAAGGAAAAATTTAACTGGAGAAGTTTTAGATTTCTGGATCTTCAGGCAATATAATGGATTGTAGCTGTTTATTGCATATCTGTGTAAAAATGCAAAAGTAATGAAATAATTTAGTATCAGCACACACCATACACACATTTGTAGAAAGATTATATTGTCACTTATCCTCAATAACAAGAACCATAAATAGCAAATAAACAAAAAAATTAATGTTTAATAATTAACCCACTTTAAATTATTAAAGCAATCATTTTATCCAGCACTTCAACATGAAGTACCCTTTACATCTATTCTCCTAACGTAATCCCTTTTAATTTAAATAAAATCAACTGGGATGACTCTATAGTACTAGCATAAAGAAAATTATAGAAAAATATAGAAAAAAGTATGTCCTAGTATTTGGGGCATTAATATCTTAATAACGTTAGTGCATTTTCTGTATTTGTTTTTTTTTCCAAAAATATGTAAACACATTCAGAAGAGCAACCTAATTTTCCCCCAAATCCATTAAATCCCCTATAAATTGCCAATCCAGTGCTGCTATTTCATACCATAATAATCCAGGCATTTGATACAGCGCCATATCACGTCTTTGTGATGTCCGAAAGCGATTCACAGAATATACTGTGAAGTGAATGGACTGTATATTTTGTGGGCGAAACTTGTACCTCAATTCCAAGATCAGGACATGACGTTTATTAAATGCAATTGGAATTGTGAGCATCATATACCTGACACAATTGTTGAATCATAGACCTAATGCTCTTGATTGATGTGACAAAACAAGTATTTTTGTGATACGCACTCACATACTGCAGCAAATTCTATTCCACTTCCATTTGTCTTGTTAAAGAGCATCATGCCACCATTAATAGTTACGTCCTAAACTCTTCCCACTTTAGGCATGAAGGATACAACAGGACTAAAAAAATCCTCAACTCCATCAACTAATACATGTGTAGCACCTTTCACATGATGAATTCTTCTAACTGCTTCCTTATACCAAAGCCTGTGCAGTCACAAGGTGCTATGTTGAATCAGATTCTGATTGTTTGGTGTTATTAAGCCAGAAGCCACATGGCATTCAGTCTTTACAACAACCTAGTAATTCGCCCATTTTAAAAACTATCAAGATAATTTGTTCAAAGAAAACTTAAGGGCCTTCCTAACTTGTATTGATGGCTCATTGGAAGAACATTGTAACGTGTGAATTGCTAATGCAATTAATACATATGTCTGCATGCAGATAACATTTTTTAATATTTTATTTTAGTTTTTCAGTTTTGCTCGTCACTTTCCTTTTGTGAGATGTGAATAACTCACAATGGTGGGAATGCTCCTTTTCCGAGGCCATTGTATGACAATGTAAGCAACTGTAGGCTACCTTTTACACCCCTAGAATAACATAAAGAGACATGTTAAAGAAAGTTCACTTCCCACCTTTTGGTTCAGAGAATGAATGTCTGGTGGTGGAGAACAAAACAAAATTAAAGGACCAGATAGATTCAAGATAGTCCCAACTTTCTTTCTGAAGAGGCTTGGGGGAGGTGGGGGGGTGGGGGTGGCTGAATCATTAAAAGTAAAAAATGGTGGATCTTATATCCCCAGTTGTTGCTTGCAGCTGCTGCTATATGTTCTCCTGGGAAGGAAATTTAGTATTAAAAGAAATGAAAGACTTTAACAATGAGGTCTACATTGTAGCTGAACTGCAGCTCAATAATACAGGTTTATTTCAGTCTGAATTTAAATTGTCAATACAGTAAAACCCTGATGTCTAAAGGATGATGTAGAGCTGTGCTTCAGGTAAAGGAAATGGCAACGTTCCCATAGTTTAATTGTAAAAGGGTGCAATATAAGTGGCAACCGCAAGGTCTCAGTCATAACGTTTGTTTGAAAATCTACACAATGACCACAAGTTCAAACCAAATTGCACCTTGAATGAAAACTCTGGTTTATACTGTACATAAGCAAAAGTTCCAGATCGTTTTGTATTGCATTTGCTGCTAAAGGTTAAATCCCACCAGCCCCACAAATATTATAGTACAAAATATATTTTAAAAAATCAAACTAACCTCCCGTCTGCGTCTGTGACAATTTGTTTATGAAGGTACAGCAGTGCAATTCTTCACATTGGAAAAACCTTTTGGAACAAGATGAACATTCTAAATTGTAGACAAACTGTCTCTACCTAAACATTCACACAACATGATTTACAAAGGATTACAATTCATCTCTAGCTTTTGCTTGTGTGTCACTCTCAACCTCTTGTTCTTCCTCCTTTTCTGCCTCTTCATCTTCCTCCTCCTCCTCCTGATCTTCACTTTTAGTTTTCTCCTCTTCTTCTTCTATCCGTTTATCTTCTTCATCTTGCTTTTCTTTCATTTTCTTCTCTGTGTCCTTTTTCCAAGAAATAAACACATTAGGCATTACAATATTTCAAATTATCATTTTACACCACAATCACACACACACACACACACACACACACACACACACACACAGGGATTGCACAGCTGCCTGTGGTGGAGTGAAGGGGTGACGTGCAGAATACTCAAGCCAGCTGAGCAAAGTCACGGGTAGTGAAGTGGGGTGTGAGCAAATCAGAGGTAGGGAGGTGCCAGGGCAAGAAGCGATTTGAAAGTGAGTGAGGATCTTTGAATAAAGCGATCCATTCTGCAGCAGGGAGCAGAAGGACAAGGAGGCAGAAACGGACCTGGCACAGAGGCAAAGGATGTCATTTATAAGCTTGACAAGCGGTATCAGTGCTGTGGGGGGCGAAAAAAAGACTGGAGGAGCTCGAGAAAGGAGTATGAGAGATTGGAGTGAAGTTGTGTGGCAACAACACGTTCGGTAACTTTAGAAAGGAAGGGTAGATTCTCCTGATTTGACAAAAGTTTTGAGGAATGAGGTAGAAATGGGGCAAAGAAGTTTAAAGCGGGAGCAGTGGTTGGGGCAGTACAAGAGGAAATAGGGGTTCTAGAGGACGTGGGGAGGGAGAGAGGAAGAGGAAGCAGCCCAGAAGTCCAAGGGGCACGGAGGTGGTGATGTGTAGTGGAAAACAGAAACTGGGATTGTTTTTAGCCTCTGGGACAGTGTTGGAATAAAGCAGGGGTTTGACTTTTGAGGGAGAGGCCCCAATCACAGACCAGGTCACACAGATGGAAGCACCAAACGTTAAATACAATGGAATCATCTACCTTGGTTACTCCCCATGTTTGATTGCCAAAATCTTCTGCATATTTCTCATTGTTTGTGATAAGGAAATTATCAAAGACTGTGCCAGATTTCACCTGTTACAGAAAATTAGCAAAGTACAATTTATGGTCAATTCATGTATTAAAAAAATTCATTCTGATTCTCAGCACACAAGTGCCCTTCACGCGGGAAGCGTCCTGGAGTGCTTACCAGCTCACACGTACCTGCCACAGATCAAGCCCAAGAACTCCAATGTTTTCATACATGTACAATTTAGGTGCTGGTGTATACTCAGGATTATCAATTTCTGGATGGACCCATTTTCCTTTGTAGGTCGGGTTGTCAATTTGACGAGGTTTCCATTCACCCTAAAAATAAAAGTTTTGAAAAAAGGCATGACCTGAAAACAGGTGTGTAAAGCAGTTATTTGGTACAGTATCAGCCTCTACAGTGCCCTCCCTAGTCACGGTGTTGATGTGATTTGCTCAGTGAAGCTGCTCATTAATAGTGATCTCCAGGATCTTGATCATCAATGGTTACACTGCTGAGGTTTGGGTGGGGGGTCTATATTCAGTCTTGTCGATAATCACCTGGCAGTGTGAGTATTATCTACCATGTTAGCCAGGGCTTGCTGCAGGCCACAATGGGCAGCTTCATTGTCAGAGGTGCTGAGCATGGGATTGAACACTGAAATCATCAGCATGCAGTTCCAGTTCTAACTTTATGACTTCGAGAAGATTATGGATAAAACATATAAATAGGCCTGGAGGAACTTACCCCTCACACAAAAAGTTCTCATCACAAAATACAAGCAATGTGTGGCAACACCAAACCCATTTCTTCAGAGAAATTGCAATATTTTCTTTACACGGGAGTCATTTTTTAAATAATCCCTTTCTCCTCAGCTTTCTTCAGTGCCTTTGTAGAGAATGGTGTTGGCTTTCTACTTTACTTCATTCCCCCAAATACAGAATTCTGTAAAGTGGGAGCTTCTTGGGATTGCAACGATAATTTAAGTTAAATTGCATGTAAACAAAACTGTGGGGTAATGGGTGCTAAAAACACATTATTCTTTGCATAATGCTGCTAGCTGCTTTTGACACACTTTTTGAAGTAGTTAACCCAAGTTAACAAAATAAAAGAATTCAGACAATTCCACGCGGTAGATATACTATATATAAAGTTAATGGAAATAGATTATAATCAGGAAACACCAATTGGTTGTTTTTTTGCGTGTTCTGCGATCCAACATTGATACAAGTGATGAACATTTTTGATGACTTTCGGGACATCAGGTCACCACTTCCTGTAGTCGAGGAAGCAATGAAAGTCAGCCATTTTTAATTGTTTCTTTTTAAAAAAAATTCCGACAATTCAGAGTAAAAAAGGATTTCCACCTAACTTCAGAATAAATCAGTTTACAATTTAGAACTCTCACCTGATATTCAGGATTCTGAATCATTGGCGGCTCCCATTCACCATCCATCTCGTCATCCCAGTCATCCGGTTTCTTGGCATCGGGATCAGCAATATGTTCTGGCTTTTCCCAGTCCTTCATTTGGGTGAGAGAGAGAAAAAAGTAGTTAACTTCCACACACTCACACAACTCAGCCTAAATACTGCAAAGTTACTCCCATGGGAAGCCCAATTCATTGCTCACGTTATCACTGGGCCATTGGACACCAATTTCATATTATTTGCATCGCAAGAAAATTGTTAAAACTGGGTTTGACACCGGTTTGCTCATATCTCATGTAAAAATGGAAATCTGATGTCTCTAGTTGTCTTCCTCAGGGTCAGTCTGGAAATGGAACACTTTCACTTTGGGCACTCAGTGTTAGCATCAGTATTCTTTCAATTATTTTCCAAATTCTTAAATAGAGTCATTACCATTCACCCAAATACAAATGCTATCAGGAAATGTCCCAATTACTAGAATTCTGAATGATTTCACGGATGCAATACATTGTGATCACTTACTTCTGGTTTCACATCATCAGGGTCGTCAATCTTCTCCCGATCATCCCAATCTTCAGGTTTCTTGGCATTAGGATCCTTTACTTGTTTGGGGGGCAGCATGTCCCAATCATTCTCTATGTTACCAGATTCAACTTTCTTGTTGTCAATTTTGACCTCATATGTGTTATCTGGCCGGACTATTAAGGTATAAAGATGTGTGTACTCATCGTCCTACAAAAAAAGGTAATTTGTTTTTTAAAAAATCTTTCAATGCTAATGTTCTCTCTCAAATTGCCAACTAACTGCCTTAGTCCTGAAGCAAATGTAGATACATTTTGCATATTTTGTCATCTTTTTATTAAATGAAGCATCATTACCAATGCTAGGTAAACCAACTGTTAGTGGTATCTTAAAAAGAAGCCACATAATCAAGACTATTTTGGAAGCACAATGTCAAATTGAAAAAAAATCCTTAAACATTAATACTTCATTAAAAATTATTCTGAACAGTCACATTTACACTGAGCGAATTAGTTTAAAAAAATTAATATCCTGCGTTGTTTCCACTACGTCATCAACCTCTCCTTGTCCACCGGTTCAGTTCCCACTCCCTAAAAACAGCCGTCATCACCCCCATCTTGAAAAAACCTTCCCTGGATCCATCCCTCCTCTCCAGCTATCGCCCCATCTCTGATCTCCCATTCCTCTCCAAGGTCCTGGAATGTGTCATCGTATCCCAGCTCCGCTTCTTTCTTTCCCGCCACTCCCTCTTTGAACCCCCCCAATCCGGCTTCTGCACTGCCCACAGCACGGAAACAGCCCTGGTCAAAGTCACTAATGGCATTCTGAACATCTGCAATCAGGGCTCCCTCTGCCTCCTTGTCCTCCTCGACCTCTCTGCTGCCTTCGACACTGTTGAGCATTCCATCCACATGCACCACCTCTCCGCTTTACTCAATCGTCACGGACCTGCCCTTGCCTGGTTCGATTCCTCTCTCACCGTCTCCACTTTGTTGCCTCTAACGGTTTCTCCTCCAGCCCCCGCACTGTCACGTCTGGCGTCCCCCAGGGCTCTGTCGTCTCCTCTTTAATATCTACATGTTCCCCCTTGGTGACACCATCCGCAGACATGGGGTCAATTTCTACATGTATGCAGATGACATCTAACTCTATCTTTCTGCCTCCACCCTCAACTCCAGGACCACTGGCATCCTGACCAACTGCCTGTCGGACATCGAGACCAGGATGAGGGCAAATTACCTACAGTTGAATGTGAACAAGACTGAGGCCCTCCTGATCGGCTCGCGCCAGCGGCTCAGCACCTCAGGCTCTGGCAGCATCAACTTCCATGGTTGCACACTTCAACACCAAGCCAGTCAGGAACCTATTTCATCCCCCAGTCACTCCGCTTCGCCCCCTCCTTAGCCTCCTTCAAGTCCCCCCTTAAGACCCTCCTCTTTGACCATGCCATCTGCCACCCTCCCCCCCCTTTCCCCTCCCCTCTCCCCCCTGACCCCAGCTCGGGTCTGAAATGCTGTACTCTGTCCAGCGCCTTGGGACATCCCTCCCGACGTGAAAGGTGCTGAACAAATGTAAGCTTGTTGTTGTTGTTGTTACAGGTGACTCTGTGTATAAACAACAATTGACAATTCTTGGGCAATCTCATTTCGGGTGTTTGCCACTGATATTGTCTGCACCAAGGTACACCTTGGCAGTCAAAGGGAACTTTCATTTCTGTGCTGAGAATCTCTCAATGACCCAATTCTTGTACGTTAACAGTTATCCCGTGAGATTACCTCAGAATTATAGTTTAAATCAACAGTAATAAAAAATCAATTCATACAAAAATGTTACTTGAACCATTTGCAAGATATACAATATATAAGTACACATGTTTATTGAACCAGAGGTATCTTGTCAAACTTGAAACATTAATCCTTATGGAAAGTTACCTTGCATCTAACATCTTTATTAATTAAGTGATTCTTTCCTTTGTAACTGAAGATCACATGAACCTTCTTGGTTCCTGGTCCACAAATATCTGGGCCTATGGAAAATAACAACATTAAAAATTAACATTAGTTTTGTTTCTTATTTACACAGAATCAAAGTAGATGTTCAATCTTGTTTTAAATTGGTATTCAAATGTTACCACAACTTTTCTTAGAAAAATACCGTCACTTTCAGTATGAAATAACAATTTTCATAAACATATTTGATTTGTATTATGTATTATGTAACATGCAGCTCTGAACACGATTTAATAGTAAATATTAATTTAAGATTTAAATAACCTAATATTTTAAAAGTCTTGAAATAATAAAATCACTCTTCTACAATAAGGGTCCTAAGCACAATGATGGTGAATCAGATTCTAGTGAGCACATCACCACACGCACAAACAAGAAGACACTAACTGCTGACAGTGTTATTAACAGTAGCACTGCTCCTCAGGGTCGTGCTCCTCCACTGTCAAGGGCTCTGGGAGGCACCCTGCCTGAAGGGCGTGGTGTAAATGCAAGTTGTTGTAGCACCGCCAAACACAGCTTATCGTACTGGTGCAGGGAGACAAATGCTCGTTTGAAGTTTGGGATTCAGTCAGTTTTACTCTGAACTCAGCTGAGAATAACATTTGCTATTAAAATGTGGAATTTTTACCCTCATCTTAATATGCCCCTTGAAACATATATTTAAAAAATCTAGTTGTCAATTTTTATGTCAAGTGATTACTTACCAAACATGATATAGTAAGGAGAATCTCCGTACATATCCTCTTGATTCAGATCACCAGGAAAGAGTTTAATATATCCTCCACCACAATCAATGTTTTGTTCGTGCTTTACAGTGAATTGGATGACTAGTGTTTGGTCTTCATTGCTGAATGGCTCAAACTTGACTGATCTTGCATAGAACTTTGCATCCTGACTGGTCTGAATTCCTGTGGGAAGAAATAAAGCAAGTTTATAAGATGCTTTCGTGATCAGACCTAAAGCCCAGAGTTTAATACAATACTTCCAAAACCAGATGGCCACAAAAAAGTTCCAAAGCTGCCAGGTCCAATACGCCGAACACATGGGGAGGAATCTCACCTATTGTTAAGGTTGCCGTTTGGTGGAGCATGTAGAGGTTGTCATGTCTGGGGTGGGATGAAATGAAATCCTTTTTTGAAAACCAATAGTTAGCAACATGGACCATGGCCTTGCTGAAGGCAAACAGTAAGAGAAGTATTTCACAGGCAGATAAGAAATATCAATCTTTGTAAACAAAAGATGAATTAAAAAATTTCTAACAGTTAAAATTTAGAAATTAATTTCTACCCTCAAGTGGCATGTGAAAGTACTATAATTCATTAAAGTTGTTTACTGTTTTGTCCATGTTATTTACTGTTTTGGCCATGTTATTTACTGTTTTGGAACAATTTAGTCAAACTAATTCAAAATACACCCTGAGAGTAACATTTTCAATGATTCAGATTTGAAGTTCAAATGAAAGCACACGGCGTTAACACACTTTTCAGTTTCATTCATTGGTCATGCTCTCAGTGTTTGCACTCCCATATAAGCACGTGCTACTTCAACACAATATTAAAAGAACCAAATTTTAGTGCTCAATTGCACAGCTATGTAGAGGTCAGTGGCTTGAAATTAAATGTTGACTCAATACAAACGTTACTGTCAACTTAAGTAGGCATCACAACCTCACTTGTACATTTAGTGATAAGTCAACATTTCAATCCACGGCTGTTTGTGGGACGCTGCTTTGCGCAATTGGCTTTTCGCCCACAAAATATACAGTCAATTCACTTTATAGTATATTCTGTGGAGTGCTGTGAGATGTCTAGAAGATGTGAAAAGCACTATATCAAATGCAAGGATTATTATTATTATTAAGTCACTAAACAGGCACTAAAAATGGGGACTGAGTTGGCTGCTTGGAGATCCACTCAATATACCATCTAGAGGTGGTGGTTTCAGGTCCAATCTGATTTATAAATGAAGTGGCATGAATTACATTACATAGGCCTGGGGCCAACACTTACACGTATAATCATGAAGTCAGGCATTAATGGGGATCAATTCCATGCAATGTGGAAAAGAGAGTTTAACCAGGCTGATACGCTCCTGCCTGTTGGGTATTTCCCTGCAGCAAAACAATGACATAGTTCTAACACCCACCCCAAGTTTTTCACTAAGTAGAAAGCTACTGGTGATAACTCCCCCCCACCGTGACATGTTTGTCACTAAATGCTGATTCTTTTGTGTCTTATGCTAGCAGTAAATTAGAAAACTGAAATTTAATCCCTACCTCCAAACTGAAAACTGTGCATCACAATGACCATACTCCATCCGTGTCATATTAATGAGTTATATCCTATAAATTGGATATTGGTTTCCCAAAAGATGGATGGAAATATTTGTGCAGTGATTTCATTAGCTATATATATATACTCACACTCATTTCTACGGGGAATTCTTGATACACGTCACAGCAACAATACAATAACATTCATCACATTTAATCAATAAAGCCGACAACATTAGACTCTCAATTTAAAGCATTACCATAATCATCAGAAATACATTGAAATTCAGCAATTGGAGGATGTGTTTGTGTTTTAAAAATAATAATGGTTCACTAACTGATTTACCAATTTTTCTGGAGTGCGTCTTTTAATGGTGCACTAAAAACATGCCCACAGGTGATTCTGAATATTTGCAAATCAAATAGTTGTGCAAATGAGGATTGTGAATAATGTTGGAATTATATCAACTAAAACCACATAGTTTACTCGTACAAAGCAGCCGGCTTGGATCAGGAACACAGTATGATGAGCAGATCTCACAGTGATATATCTACCACGATCCTGGAGATAATGTGTCAGGCTGACTAATCAAACAAATAAAATGTCCTCTGGATAGCCTGGATGAGATATTGGATTAATGCACATTATAAATAGCTGATTCATCTCCATTCTCCTTTTGCCAAATGTTTCACTATTGAACCATCTCAACTCCATTTACCTTTTTTGTCCTCCTGAAGTGAAAGGCTCTCTATACAAATGTAATTTGTTGTTGTTGTCATAAATTGGTCAGACATAAAAGATGGGTAAACTACAATTAACCTTTTTTTCCAAAATGATAGCCGGTACCTGGAATTCTTCTCAGGGGAAAAGGTGAGCAACAGAGCTGCACATGTGTAATTGACTTTCTACCATTCTCCAGCCATTGAATAGTAACTCAATGGTTATAATAATAATAATCCTTGCATTTGATATAGCGCTTTTCACGTCAGGAGGACGTCCCAAAGCGCTTCACAGAACACACTGTAAAGTGAATTGACTGTATATTTGTGGGCGAACGCGGCAGCCAATTGCGCACAGCAATGTCCCACAAACAGTCGTAGATTGAAAATGACCAATTTATTATTGTTTTGGGATTTGGAGGGATTATTATTAGGCTCTGTGTGGAGTAAGGAAACTTGCTCAAGGTTTCGCCCTCTGCCTGGAATTGAACTCAGGTCTCTCATTTGCAAAGCGAGTGCTCTAACCACTGAGCTACAGGACTCCACTGTACTGGTTGGTTGGTGTGATCTGTTATCAGTGATTGCTCAAAACTCTGCTTGCCAACCTTAGAAGCTTCTTATTTCCAGATATAAGTGCGTGCTTGTGAGTTGACATTCCAGGTAATCTTTCCAGCAGCTGTTTGTGACTCTGAGAAAACATTCAATGAATTAAGGAATACAAACATGATGCAAAAAGGTCTACAACATTTTTTAGTTTTGGTTACCTTTATCCTTCTCAGGGTCACCGTAAAATTTTCCAGCACTGAGTACAAATTTACCATAGTCAGAGTTATGTTTTGATTCCGTCCATCTGCTTTCCCAAGCACCTGAAATTAAAATTGAAAAACAGTGAAATGTATACTATAAAGAGGAAGATGCTGGTTTATTGTGCACTGAGCCATTTTTTGAACTTGAAAAAGCTGGAAACATCTGGATATTATGTTCTCCCACACCAATACTCAGTCAAGAGGTGTTGATAGCTCAGACATAAACACTGCTTCTCAGCTGACACACCAGAAGGAACATTAAGCTATGCAAAGTACCTCGCTGTGCTCAAGTTGTCCCCTTCACTCACAGATCACTTGCATTAGAACAGCTAACTGGCCCGTCAAACTGTGAATATTATATTAAATGTGGGTGTCTTAACATTTCCTGCAAACCACTGGGCAAAGCCATGCGTTTGCTGCAACCCATGTACCTAGTCACTAATTTTAAATCAAATTACATTGAATAAACCTAATTTCCATTTTAGTAATGCAATCAAATAATATATTAATTTATTAATGTAGTAACACGCAAGTGGTTAGACCATAACACCAAACAAGACAAAATAATTACCTTTAGGCCAATACAAACTAAGGAAATCCCATCTTGAGCTCTCCATCAATGCACGTTTAGAAACACATTACAATTCTAACGCACCCGAACAGCCTTTTAGTTTTAATGCACCACAAGCTGCCGCACACAAAAACAAATTAAATTGCATCATTCATGAATTCACCTCAAAAGCCTGTCATTAAATAATACAATATCGGCATTGAAGTGATGGCCGGTGTGCGTTAAAAAGGATGATTCTGGCAATCACCCTGTTTCAGCGAAGGTATTGTATCTTCTCAAGAACTGAAAACAAAAAAGAATCTCACAAAGCAATACGACCAATACTGACGCCGGAAACAGAACAGGAATTCAATTTTTTTCCTTAAGAAATCTTCAATAATCGAATGCGAAAACCCCCACACAGTGACTCTGAGCGCTCAGCGCCGAGACGGGAGACTTCACAACAGTGATTTGGTCACTCAATCCGGACTGTCGGGGGCGCTGCCGCGTGTCGCCCACTTCACAGTGCGGCCGGTGGGACCGACCCGACCCGACCCGGTCCCGAGGCCCCGAGGCCCAGAGGCGATTACCCGCTGCAGCAAATGCAACGATTAATATTATTAATAAGCCAACGTTTCCCGAGCTCTTATTTCGGAGCTGGTGACCTGACCGCGTGTGCGGACTCTGACTGCGGCCACTCAACCATCCTCCCCCCACCCCCCCGTCAGCCCCCCCCCCGTCAGCCCCCCCCCCCCCGGGCCATCTGTCACCCCCCCGTCACGCCCCCCTCAGCCACTTACCGCCATCCGCGAATTCTTCCTTCAAATACACGGCGGCGTCTCCCAGCGCCCGGGCGGCAAAGCCCAGGAGCAGCAGCGGCAGCTTCATGTCGGTGACAGTCACCTCAGGGTTCGGTTGTTTTGATGATTACTGTTGTTATTGTGATTATAATATAATAATGACAATGTGTCTGACAGCTCCCGCGCTGCCGGAATCCCGACCCGCTCCCTCCCGCTCGCTCCCGCCGCCTGATGCCCTCCCGCCCCGCGCTCGCACAGCCTCAGCCCCGCCGCTCGGGGTTGACCAGATGGCCGCTCGCCATTGGGCAGGACGTGATCACGTGGGAGGGAGCTGGCAGGGAGCCAATCAGCAGGACCCACGCGGCGTGCCGGGCGGAGCTTGTGATGTCACCGCCATGTCAGTTCATTGTTTCACCGCTAAAAAAAACCTTTTACACACGTCACGGCGGCGCCACTGTTGCCAAACTTGGGCGGGTTCACGCCCAATTGGGCGGGTTTGTGTTCAGGACTGTGCGTGGGGAAAACGGTTTTGGGCGAAAGCTTAATATTTTTATTTAATTCTGCAAAAAGGTGTTTTTTTTCTTTCCAAGACCTTTTCTCACACAGTTTTCTGAAGAAGCACTGACTCTGCCCCTTAGGGCAACGTATAATATTGGGCTACTTTGCGGCTGGTATTTGGTTGGCTTTGGCCACACTGAAGGGCACAGAGGAGGATGGGGAGAGGGAGGAGGGAGAGGGAAAGACGGAGGGAGGATGGAGGGAGGGAGATAACTGCTGAATTCATTGTGAGTGAGGGAGGGAGCTCCGAGCGGAAGCAGTACACCCCCCACCCACCCCCCACCCCCACCCCCAGCGCTGCACTGGAGCGTCAGCTTAGACAATGTGATTCCAAGTCCTGATGTGGGGTTTGAACCCACAGTCTTCTGCCTCAGAGGCGACGACCGCTCCCACTGCACCAGGTTGACACACGCATTTTGCCCACAAAATATACAGACAATTAACTTTACAGTATATTCTGCGCTTTGAGATGTCTGAAAGACCTGATAAGGCGCTGCATCAAATGCAAGGATTATTATTATTAAAGAGCTTAACTCTTTGTCCGCTGCAGCACTTTAAGATTAAGTACAATTCCACATGACTGCACACCTTTCTACTTTCACAGTAAGAGGAAATAAGAGCTTAGTGCTAATGAATATGAAAAAATATTCCAATACTGTAACACAATTCGTTATTAATATGAAGCCAAGTATCTGTGAATGCATTTGTATGAGACACTAAATTAAATCATATGAATTGGAGCTTCAAGTGCCTTCTTTTTTAGTAAAATGAATGTTGCTTCCAGAAACGATGTGAATTTTTCAGCAGCATCCTAAATGCTGTAAAAAGGATAACTGGAGTTGTGTATATTTTTCAGATGAAGATAGAACAGAAGCATAAGCATGATTTTTAAATAAATGAGAAGGTAGTTTTTTTAAAAAAAAGAACTAGCTACAAATTAAGGAATTACAGACTAGTTAGTTTAATAATGAAAGCCATTTTACAGAGCACTATTAATCTGCATCTGAGAAGTCAGGATGGTTAGAGAAGCAATACATCATGCCTCACAAATATAGAGGAATTCTATGAGGACTATTTAAATTAGTGCACAAGAAATATACAAGAGATATAATGTTCTTTGAGTCCCTCCTTTTGAGTATCAGAAGGTACTTGATAAGGTTAAAGATTTAAGATTCTTAAAGAAGATTAAAGAGTGGAATTAAGAGCAAATCAACTAACAGGATTGAACATGATCTCGGTAATTGAAACAGAGAAAGTTGATAAATGATACGCTTTACAATGGTTGAGAGAGGGGTGATAGTGATTAGGGGTATTGTCAAAGAAATATACTTTACATTCTCTACTGTTTACACTATAGATAAATGACTGGTGGATGGTAATATTATGATTTATGTTGTTGATAATACCAAGGTGTATAGTGACCAATTCACCAATGTTTGGGAGAGTCTGAGAGCATTTGGTGGAAATGCTCTGGGCAAATTAAATTGACAGCATACAAAACTTACTATCGGAAGAATGCTCATTCCAACACAAAAACCATGCCCAGGTGCCATACACATTTAAATTTTTATGGGTTTTTTATATGTCAGATCAAAAAGAAAAATGAACTCCATGTTTCCAGGGAGTGTCATTCATTGAATAATATGGAAAAAAATAGGATTTTTCATAGAAAATATCAAAGAAAATCTGTAAAGAAAGAAATAGGGCTGATCTGCTCATTGGAGAGGAATGAACTAGGAAGAATTGTATAAAATAGGTGCTTTGGACTGAAAAAGAGACTTCTTTTTTTGGGTCTTTATAGAGGTATATAAGATAATATACAATGGGATTACATAGAACAACAGCTTCCATAGGCTGCAGATCATCCAGAATTCAGCAGCCCGTGTCCTCTCCCGTACCAGGCTCTGCAAACCTATCACCTCCATCCTCGCCGGACCCCACTGGCTTCCCATCACACAGAGGATACAGTTCAAGATCCTGGTCCTCACCTTCAAAGCCCTCCATGGCCTTGTCCCCCCTGCCTCACCGACCTCCTAACCCCCTACCAACCTACCCGCTCCGTTTGCTCAGCAGGCTCTGGCCTGCTTAATGTCCCCAGCCTCGACCGCCCCACTATTAATGGGTAGGCCTTCTGCCACCAGCCTCTGGAACTCCTTCCCACAGTCCCTCCGCCTCGACTCCTTCCTTGCCTCCTTCAAGACCAATCTCAAGACCCTCCTCTTCAACTGTGCCTTTGATCACCCTGCTTCCCTCCCCGATCCCGACCCCCAGCTTGGGTCCGAAACACTGATTATCAAGCGCCTTGGGACATCCTCCCGACATGAAAGGTACTTTACACATGGAATTTTGTTGTTGTTTTAGATAATGTATCAAAACAAAGTGAATAGGCTCGACTTGATATCACAATTCAAGAAATATACCAGTTTTAAGTTGGAGTGAGTGATCACCTAAAAAGTTTTCTCCCGAACAGGGGTGACTGACACCAGCACACCATTGTAGAAAAATGCTTTTAATAATACTATGTCAGTAGGGTTAGTAAGCGCTCTGAGGCGCTACGCTGCGTGGAGGGTGCTATAGGAATGCAAGTTGTTGTTGTTGTATTCTCAAAGAATTAGACCAAAAGGGTAAGAAACCTTTGTACAAACCTTTGTTGTCTTGCGAGAAAATGTTTAAAAAAGGACAATTATAACTGGCAGCTACAGGAGGGCAGTAGTGAGGACACATTTACAAAATTAGATATTTTAAAATAAAGCTTATTTTATTTGCTTTCTTGATACAAAAAAAAAGATCAATTTTAACGGTGCATTTTTTTGTGTGTACACTTGAAGGCAAGATGTTGTGGAATTGAGTACAAGGAAATCACTTCAATCGCTAATACTCCTAATTCTGTATTGTTATATGCACTTTATTTGAAAAACACTGGATTAGGGAGCAAAAAAAATCAGGTACGATTTTATTGCTATCCAACCATTCACTCTGGAAAATGAGAGTGCGTGTGAGTACATCCTGTGAGGGCCATATCAAGTGTCCTCCAAGTTCAACCAGTCAGCCCACACTGCTGTGTAGGTTCATGCGTGAAGCGGTCAGTCACATAACACTGGCTGTTTCAGGACATACAGGAAGGAGGGTAAAGGAGTTAACAAGCACTGGCTGCCGAGGTTCATATATGGATGGGAACCACACGTGGGGTTGACCCCTAAAACAAGGGGTGAAAAATGTCCATAACACGGCTATAAGCACTTTGAGACGTCTCGAGGACAGATCAAACGCAGCCATTATTATTATTACTACGTGTGGGTTACATTTTTTTAAGCCCAAATGACCGAAGTTCAATGGAAAAAAAAGATGGAGTCCTGTAGCTCAGTGGTTAGAGCACTCGCTTTGCAAGTGAGAGACCTGAGTTCAACTCCAGGCAGAGGGCGAAACCTTGGGCAAGTTTCCTTACTCCACACACAGCCTAATAATAATCCCTCCAAAACTAAAACAATAATAAATTGGTCATTTTCAATCCACGACTGTTTGTGGGACATTGCTGTGCGCAATTGGCTGCCGCGTTCGCCCACAAATATACAGTCAATTCACTTTACAGTGTGTTCTGTGAAGCGCTTTGGGACGTCCTCCCGACGTGAAAAGCGCTATATCAAATGCAAGGATTATTATTAAGATTTGAGATTCTTCCTGCAGCAGATAATCACGGATTATACAGGGGGGGAAGTCCATGGCTGTGTGCAATTCTCCCTGCGTGTGTGTGTGCGTGTGCGTGCGTGTTTTGGTAAGGCGAGTATTTGTAGCGACTGTGTATTTTCGCCAACACGCACACAGTCACTACACTTTACAGCGTGTCCTGTGAAACGCTTTGAGATGTCTCAAGGCTGTGATCAGCGCTGAGTCAAACGCCAAGATTATTATTAAAATAACCATCCCCGCACAGCGAGTTAGTGAGCGAGTTATAGAGATAGTTAGTTAGTGAATTACTTAGTTAAAGAGATGGTTAGTGAGTTAGAGAGATAGTGAGTTAGAGAGATAATTAGTGATTTAGTTAGTGAGATGGTTAGTTAGTGAGATAGTTAGTGAGTTAGATAGTGAGATAGTTATAGAGATAGTTAGTGAGTCAGTTAGATAGTTAGTGAGATATTAGTTATATAGTTAGTGAGTTAGTTAGTGAGATATTATAGTGAGTAGTTAGTTAGTGAGATATTATAGTTAGTGAGCGAGTTAGTGAGAAATTATAGAGATAGTTAGTGAGTCAGTTAATGAGATATAGAGATAGTTAGTGAGTAATAATAATAATAATCCTTGCATTTGATATAGAGCTTTTCACGTCTTCTCGACGTCTCAAAGCGCTTCACAGAATAGACTGTAAAGTGAGTTGACTGTATATTTGTGGGCGAACGCGGCAGCCAATTGCGCACAGCAATGTCCCACAAACAGTCGTAGATTGAAAATAACCAATTTTATTATTGTTTTTGGTTTTGGAGGGATTATTATTAGGCTCTGTGTGGAGTAAGGAAACTTGCCCAAGGTTTCGCCCTCTGCCTGGAATTGAACTCAGGTCTCTCGCTTGCAAAGCGAGTGCTCTAACCACTGAGCTACAGGACTCCAGGAGTAGTTAGTGAGATATTACAGATAGTGAGTAGTTAGTGAGATATTACAGATAGTGAGTAGTTAGTGAGATATTACAGATAGTAGTTAGTTAGTGAGATATTAGATAGTTAGTGAGTAGTTAGTGAGATATTACAGATAGTGAGTGGTTAGTTAGTGAGATATTAGATAGTGAGTGAGTGAGAGACAGACAGTGACAGAGGCCCCGCCCCCCGCCGCCTTGGCCAATGAGCGGAGCCGTTGCTGACGTAGCGGCGGTTTGTTTTCACTGCCCGAAGATGGCGTCGTTCATGGAGGGGCCGCTCAGCAAGTGGACAAACGTCATGAAGGGATGGCAGTACCGCTGGTTCGTGCTCGATTACAACGCGGGGCTGTTGTCCTACTACACGGTGAGGGTTTGCTGTGTGTGTGTGTGGGAGAGAGGCACAGAGAGGGGTGGCCGCTGTGAGCAGTACCCGCCGAGCCCGGGGCCGGGAGGGAGGGAGGGAGGGAGGGCAGCGGCGCCATCAGCCTCCGTGTCCCCCCCCCCCCCCGCCGTTGGCAGGGCCTCACTCTCACACAAACTTGATTGGGCGTGGCCAAGTGGGGGGGGGGGCACCCGAGTGACGGAGGAGACAGCCAATAGGGTACGAGATCGGGCCGAGTGACAGCTGCTCGGAGCCAATGGACGGACGGGAAGCGGCATAGTGTAGGCCACTAGGGTTAGGCTGCGCGGTGGCGTAGCAACGGAGTTGGCCTCCAAGGCGGTGGCTTTTGTGGCAGAAACAGCTCTAATAATAGTCAAAATTATTATAATGATCATTAACATACTTATAATGGTCATAATCACAATGGTCATCACAATGATACACACAATGATCATAATCATCATAATAGTCATAATTATAATTACAATGGTCATCATAATCATAATTATCACGATAATAATCCTGGCATTCGACACAGCGCCTTATCACATCGTCGAGACATCTCAAAGCGCTTCACAGAATATAATGTAGTGACTGTGTGATAAAACGCTAATAGGTAAAAGTCATTATGTCTGTTGGTTAAACCCACCACATACACCACCCACATACATCACCCACATACACCACCCACCACCCACACACACCACCCACATACACCACCCACATACACCACCCACATACACCACCCACACACACCACCCACACACACTACCCACCACCCACATACACCACCCTCCACCCACATACACCACCCACATACACCACCCACATACACCACCCACATACACCACCCACCACCCACATACACCACCCACATACACCACCACCCACATACACCACCCACTACCCACACACACCACCCACATACACCACCCACCACCCACATACACCACCCACCACCCACATACACCACCCACCACCCACATACACTACACATCACCCACATACACCACCCACATACACCACCACCCAAATACATCACCCACCACCCACATACACCACCCACATACACCACCCATCACCCACATACACCACCCACCACGCACATACACCACCCACCACCCACATACACTACACACCACCCACATACACCACCCAGATACACCACCCACATACACCACCACCCAAATACATCACCCACCACCCACATACACCACCCACATACACCACCCACATACACCACCCACCACCCACATACACCACCCACCACGCACATACACCACCCACCACCCACATACACCACCCACCACCCACATACACCACCCACCACGCACATACACCACCCACCACCCACATACACCACTCACATACACCACACCACATACTCAACTGGTACCTGATGTCATTCTATTGCTTCGCTCTCTTGCCCCCCCCTTCCCCAAACCTATGTCCTTTATATTCTGAGGACAGTGTCCTTTGAGTAATACCTGGCACTATAGTACTCCCTCCCTCTGGCTCTAGTGTTTGTATTTGTTGGCAAAAGCTCATTTGGCATAATTGCAAGTTGCGCAATGTACATCAAACTACTAACATGCCATACTGAGTGAACCACAACATAAGACAGTCTTAAGAATCAAATATTGTTTAATTGGAGCTTTGAGCTCACAGTCTAGGCTGACTCTGGAATATTTTGGTGTGCTTCATTTGAAACTGACAATGCTGCGCTCTCCCAGCACAACATTCGAGCGTCAGCCTACACTGTGAGCTGTCCGTCTGCATTTACAGGTGGCTGTTAAAGATCCCATGAAAAACTTGGTAGCAGCGTTTGCCTACAAATACACAGTCACTACACTTTACAGAAAACTGTGAAAGTTTTAAGACATTTTCAACATGAGAGGATGTTATATCAAGTGCAAGGGTTATTATTGTGACAATTTCTTGTATTATTGTATTAGCATTTTCCTGAAATGTTGATTCCTTTATGGCCATTACGAATTCTGCGCTAGATCATCCCCATGTTAAACTGCCAACGAATATAAAAGGATGTGGTAAAAAAATGTTGAAACTGACTTCAGTGGATGGTATAGCCTGGAGTGGGAAGTTTTTCCAGCCTCCCTGCAGAGAAGCACGAGTTGGGCACAGTTTCGCCTTTGTGTATGGAGACAGATTTCCTCAGCTCTGCACGGTTTTCTAAAACAAGAGATAGGCCGTTGGCTATGCTGTTATAGTATATTGCAGACTATACTGTAGACCTTAATTACTGGCCTTGTTTAATAGCTTTGTAGTAAAGCCTCTGAACGATGCCTGCCACCTTTGAGCAGAACAACACAAATCTGTGCTGGGAGCTTCTTCAAAAAAATCGATTAGTACAGAGTCAGAGGACAGGGGGTGGGGGTAAACCAGATCTTCTTTCAGTCAGTTGACAAGTGGATAGTGCACTTGTTTACCTTTCCAGTAAATATACACTGGTGTACTTGGTAAGTATTCCTTTCTAAATAGCTTTTTATCAGCATGATTACTAAAGTAGGTACAGACAGATCTTTTAGTCCAGTATTTGCAACAGAAATCCTGGAAATACAGATTCTAAATTAAATCTAATCGCAATGTTAACTGTTTCTAGTATATATTTCTCTGCCTTTCCACATACATACAAGTTTCTAAGACAATCGATTGCTACTCTGAGGATAAGAGNTTTTTTTACTTATATTTTCCCATATTGACCAAAAACCCTGTTAGAGCGGTCTGCAGAAATGTTTCATGTTGAGCTAGATGTGCAAATGGGATTCATGTGAGGCTTTCACCCTATTGCTAATGTTTCTGCGGTAACCAAGGGGGTGGCTATTCCTCATAACACATCACTCTGGGATAAAGCAAAAAGCTTTTAACTAAAGTCATTTTTAAAATTAATTCAGTTTGTTAATTGCTCACAGCTAATAACCCTTTTTCTTTACAAGGTTAATTTTGACAAACTTTTGAGGGGAGAAAAAATAATTTTGCTTTAATACAATATTTATTTCTGTAGTTTCAGAATATTTATTTCTGTTGCTACATATCATAAATATCAGAACCTTAGTTCCCTGTTTGAAGTAGATAGTACTGTATGTGATGAAATGTTTCTGTTTAATTAGGTTGTTAGTACTGTGTGTAAAAAGTTAGCCAATGCGCTTTTTGTTATAAAAATCATTGGTTAATTTTACCCCAGAAATCCAGTACCTCTATTCCCAACAATTTTGTTTGAGTACACCAGTTTAATATACTATAATCAGACAATTACNAAAAAACAGGAAAACATCACTCAGTATGTATTTCTGAGACAATATTCCTCCCAACGTGAAAGGAGCTATACAAATATAATTTTTTTGTTTGTTTTATTTATTATAATAATCCTTTCATTTGATATAGCACTCATCATGTGGTCAAGGACACCCTGCTTAACATATGTTGCTTAACGTATTGGTACCAATAATCCACAATGGGGAATTTGCACTTAACCCAATACAGTGTCGATACATTACCTCAAATTGCCATCACCTGTATTTACCGTAACAAAATATGCTTTCTGAAGACACGTTTGAAAGTAGTAAGTCTATACCTGTACCTGAATGCTAATGACTAAACTGCATGCAAAACATAAAGAACTTTAGCATCTGGACTCTATCCAACCCACCTGTCCCAGGTAACATTAGTCAACTTCATATGGAGCAAGGATTAAATGTGGAATCTTACTGGTCTTAAAACAGCAACATACTGAATGATATATTTATTCACTAATAATGTCTTCAGGATAGCATTGTATGCCTTTGATCTCTTCTGTATTTGTAATTGTCTGCCTCTAGTATATAGACAATAGTATAATATTAGTATGATAGACCAATGGTTTTAGCTGGTTAGATTCCAGCAGTACCCCAACATACACTCTGGGGTCCCCAAGCCTTGGCTCTTGCCAATATTTGTCTAATACTCTGGAAATAGGTAAACAGAAAGCGTCCCCCCAGGGAGAGAGTACGCATTCCAATAAATCTCTGGGATTTCCGTGTGTAGGCGGGATGCATGGAACTCAGATTTAGATACTCCTAATCATGGTGATGGGTTTCTGCATGTGTCAGACACCCGGCTGACCAAAAAACAAATGCAGTCACTGTGCAATGTAGCAGTTTATTCCACAAACTATTGTCAGTTCTCTGCAGTAATTCTGTTGTTTTTTGGCTGGCTTGCGCTTTTTCTATCCCTGTTGCTCAATGTTCCAGATTCTTCCAGAGTGAGGAGTTGAATCCACCCTCCATGGGGTGTGGCTCCGTACTGATGCCACTAAACTGCAGAATTTCAACCAATTTCTTAAAAGCAGCCTTGTCCCTGACATGACAGGTGGCAGCATTAATATTCAATTAACATAACATAACATGTAGGAGCAGGAGGAGGCCATTCGGCCCTTCGAGCCTGCCCCGCCATTCAATCATGGCTGATCTTCTAATCTAACTCCAGCTAATAACCTGACCCTGCCTTACTCCATATCCCTTAATCCCTTTTGGCAAGAGCCAATAAGAAATCTATCTATCTCAGTCTTGAATATGTTCGAGGACTGAGCGTCAACAGCCCTTTGGGGTAGTGAGTTCCATACATTCACTGCCCTTTGAGTGAAGAAGTTCTTCTTTAACTCAGTGCGAAAGGGCTGCCTCTGATTTTAAGGTTGTGACCCCTGGTTTTAGTTTCTCCAACCAGGGGAGACAATCTCCCACTATCTACTCTATCATGCCCTTTGATGATCTTATAGGTTTGTATAAGATCCCCTCTAATTTGTGGAGTCCTGTAGCTCAGTGGTTAGAGCACTCGCTTTGCAAGTGAGAGACCTGAGTTCAATTCCAGGCAGAGGGCGAAACCTTGGGCAAGTTTCCTTACTCCACACAGAGCCTAATAATAATCCCTCCAAAAAACCAAAAACAATAATTAAATTGGTCATTTTTCAATCTACGACTGTTTGTGGG